TGGATTTTTTTTCCCGTTTACTCCGCTCTCTCGTAACTTTTTACACGCAAGAATGATTACATGCATTAGTGAGTGATAGTTCGAATGACGTACTTAAACATAACTAACAATGAATACTCTTGTTTTATTGTTTTCATTTAACAAAGAATGCTGGTAATTACAGACGTCATTCCAACTATCACTCATGCATGTAATCATTCTTGCGTGTAAAAAGTTACGAGAGAGCGGAGTAAACGGGAAAAAAAATCCAATTTTGAAACGTTTCGCGGCGGACCTAATGTTTATGTCCGAATGGATGCTAAAATACTTAGACGTAAATATATTTTTCAGATATCTTGATAAAATGATAGTTTTCTGAACATTTTAAAATCTTCTAGTTTTTTCTGATACACCCTGTATAACATTAGATGGAACGTGCCCTAAATTTTCCAATTTTTTAAAACTCATTGCCGTCCGGTCGTAAACGACGCACGCAAAAAATTTCGATTTTATCTGCAAGTATTTTACCAAATAAACTAGAAATTGTATTATCTTAAAGCTAAAACATTTATCTATTTGTGTAAGTTCAGTTCATTTCAAGAGCTTTCCTATAAGCCAATATATTTATTGCTGATCTTGTACTTTTGAAATTGAATTTTAGAGAAGCGAAAATACGCAAAGCCTTCCAGAAATCTCGCCTAAAAACCTCCAAATGTTTGTAGCTTACATTGTGATCAATATTTCCATCTATTTTGCTTGAAATACAGTCGTTTTGGCGATTTGTAGTGATATTTCCAACAAACGTGTTTACAAACGGAAAATCCGAAAATTTGCATATAATTATCACCATATTGGCGAAAATTTGACAAAAAATCGGAAAATTTTCGCTCCAAAAAGGCCGAATATATGACTTCTAGGGACATTTTTACCCCAGGAATCGATTTCCGGGCTTATTTTACCCCTAGGGGGTAGGCAACGTTGAGTTTTTGACCCTCTAACCTCACGCGACAACCGCATGTGCGTGCGCTAACTAACGCGTCTCGCTACAAACAATAACAAATCAGAAAAATCGATATTTTTCGAGTTTTTCTGCCCATCCTGACTCAAAAACTATCAGAAAAGATAACTAAAGCATTTCTAGTCTATATATAACGGTTAAAATACGAAAGGATGAAAAATAACGAAGAAAATAACGAAGTTCCAAAGGCGAGTTATATTTCCGGTTGTCATCACCTTGTAATTTGACATGATTTTGACAGCTGCACTGCGGTGTCAGGTTAACAGAAATATTTATTAATTTCCGGATTAACACCTTCGTCCATCTTACTTACCCGATTGGATGGTTAGGTGTTAGCTCGTCGCTCGCGGGAGGGGGGCTTGGAACGAGTGCTGTTACTTGGAGCCAGGTTGAGATCCCTACGGTATCTTAAGCTGAACACGCAAGGGTGATGTGAAACATTACCCCTCCAAGTAACTACCCCTGACTCAGCCTTCTTCAGGGGCGAGCTAGCAAGAACGGTGATCGTTATCACGATTGTGCCGACTGTGCAGCGACTGTTGTTACCAGCCGACATGGTAGCACAACCTTAACCCAAAAAACTGCACTGTGTTGCTCTGGACGTTGTTCCCAGCTTCAATGGGAGCACAACGAGGCCGAGCCAACCTGGGGGAGAGCACACTCCTTCGCCGACATGAGCCCGGACGTTGTTACCAGCTGAGATGGTAGCACAACGTGTAGCACGATAGCGCCCTGTGGGGTTGCATTTCCGCCCCGACTAGATGGTAACGCGAAAACTGGTACCGACTCGTGCGAGGACGTTGTTGCCAGCTGGAATGGCAGCACAACGTTCGTCCTCGCCCATCCTTTGGGCTGACCCTTCCCGAGGTGGTATGTTATAGGTGTGATAACTGACATACCAGGCCCGTCCCAATGGCCCTGGATCGATGAGCAAGCGGACCGGACAAAATGAGGAGAAGCGATAAACCCCAAGAGCTTTTATTGTGACTGACAACCAAACTTATATACACGTTGTTTTTTTTTGTTGTTTTTTTTGTTTTTTTTTGTTTTTTTTATCTAACACTATAGTCTACGCAACGAGACGAGCTGCTACGCTGTCGATTACACTCGGCGGAGTTCTAATGTACACTTGGTACGCGTCGCTTAGCCACCTGCCCATCGTCTTAATCAGATGGTCCGGAACGCCGACCATAGCGGCTGTAGTCGCCGCACCAATGCGGAAGCTGTGGCCCGAAAAATTACCCTCCAAACCTAGGCGTGCGAGAGCATCGCGCGTCCACGACACGAGGTGATAGCGAACTTAAGCAAGCAACGTTTTCACGACGACGGCGACGCCATTTAACCGCGAAAGACTGGCCCGAGGACGACGTTTTAGCGCGAAAAACAAATCATTAAGCAAAAACAAACGGGGACGTGAACAAAATGTCATTTAGGGAAGTTCGTGAAATTATAGCCTACTCTTATGCTGATGAAATTATCTCAAACGATGAATTTGTGTTACTGTACGATTATTTTCACTCGAAAAATCCAGATTTCACCTACGAAGACACCCCCAAGTTCGATTTCGACGAGTTGTTGGAGGCTGAAAGCAAGGCTAATTTTCGTGTGGAAAAAAAAGATTTACATTCATTAGCTAATGCTCTGCAGATTCCTCCCTCGTTTAAGATGTACCAGCGAAGTATTGCTGATGGTATGGAGGGCTTGTGTATGCTGATGAAGCGATTCGCCTATCCTTGCAGGTACGGGGATATGATAACCTTATTCGGAAGACCTGTTCCCGAAATATGCATGATTACAAATCATGTGTTAAACTACATCTACGAAACTCATCACCACCGCATAACTGAATGGAACAACGGCCTTCTGAGCCCTGACCTCTTAGAAGTTTATGCAACATCCATTCATCAAAAAGGTGCCCCGTTACAAAACTGTTCGGGTTCATTGATGGAACAGTCCGTCCGATCTGCAGGCCTAGACAAAACCAGAGGCTGGTTTATAATGGGCACAAGAAAGTACATTCCCTGAAATTTCAGTCTGTTGTTGTTCCAAATGGTATGATTGCAAACCTTTATGGACCTGTAGGTTAGTATGAATACCCTTGTTGAAGAGTGGAGTATAATAAACGTACTGGAGTTTTAAAGTTATTTTCAGCCATTTTTAAAGAGGGTAATTTAAAAATGGATGGGACTGTATCTAATGTTGCTAGGAGAGAAATCATAAATTTTATAACTGTTATCATATTCATTTTTTGTCAACACTAACTTACCTAGAGGGGAAAAGACATGATGCTGGTATGTTGGCTGAGTCAGGACTGCTGCAGACCTTAGGCAGAAGCTTTCTCAACAAGGGGAGATCCAATGTGCTTGTATGGGGATCCAGCATATCCCTTAAGGGTGCACCTACAGGCACCATTTCGACAAGGAAATCTAACCAACCAAATGCAGATGTTCAACACCAACATGAGCGCCACAAGAGTATCTGTCGAATGGTTGTTCGGTGACATAATAAATTATTTTAAATTCCTAGATTTTAAAAAAAATCTGAAAATTGGTTTGAGTAGCGTTGGTAAGATGTATGTTGTTTGTTCCCTTCTTCGAAATGCATTGACCTGCATGTATGGCAACCAAACAGCTGAGTACTTTGGCTTGGAACCACCTACTCTGGAGGAATACTTTGCTGTGAATTAAGAACCATAAACAGAAGAGTTTAACAAACTTGTATTTATTACATTTGAACTGCAAACATCAATTTAAAAGTGTTAATATTTTTGTATTTTCCAATTTTTTTAACATTGTAATTGTCCATATTGTCCAGAAAATAAAATAGAAGAGCTTTTATATTCTAAATTTAACAGTTAAAAAAGCTATGTAAATAATAACACAACTTACATAAGTGTACATGCCTTGTGTCCTATTTGTTAGCAAATTTTTCTAAGAGAGCCATCAAAGCCTGACTTTGCATTTGTTGTTGTTGGAACATTTGTTGCATGGTTTGTGCATGACACCGCAGAAATTGGTGTTTAAGACGTTTCAACCCGAAAATCTAATCGCTGGTTCACAATTGTGCATTTCTGTATCGCCCTATCAAAGAGAAACCTTTTGAATATCTTAAAAAAGTTCAATTTTTCTTCTGAATACGCATTCTGCAATCTTTTGACAGCTCATCATACACATCTGACCGCTGTGAAATGGCCATTTTGAGGCTTAAAGTATACACAAGGTTATTAATTCAGACGATTCGTTTTTACCGTGAGCAAGCTTCAAATCTTTTGTGCAAGACATATTTTCTTGAATATTTATAAATCTTTTTCCTCACCAAGTTTGAAGTCTAAGTATCGAGAATTGCGGCTAAGCCTATACCAATTTCCGCGGTGTCTTTGTGCATGCTGTTGTTGCTGAAGTTGCTGTTGTCTCTTCTGTTCTTGATGTTGTTGCTGCATAAAAATCAGCATGTCCTGTTGCATTTGGCTTTGGTTTTGCAATAACAAAGCACTATTTGACTGCTCTTTTTCTCTAAGCTCAAACTCCCTTTCTTTCAGAGACAGGTCAGCTTTAGCTTTTTCTTTTAAATATTCAATAGCCTCACCAGTACTCTTTCTTCTCTTTGTTGTATGCTCCCTTTCATTTTTCTCCTTTCTTTTAGTAGTCTCTCCTACAGTTTCCAAGGCTTGAAGTCTTATTTCATTAGCTGTGGCTCTGTCATTTTCTGCTTTCTTTACCTTGGATGTAATAGGAGGATTAAGCATCCATTCTTCTTCTTTATCAAAAATTTCCTCTAGTAATGAGTCAATTTCATCTTCATCTGGGCTTATTCCACTGGACTGACCTTCTTCTCTGACTTTTGCTCTGTATCCTTTGATAAGTAAATTAAGCCGATCCCGTATTGCCCGCTTGGATACATAGAATTTTGGACTTTCCAATGCGTTGAGGTTTTCAACTATTTTGTCCCACTCTTTTCCTCTCTCCACACTGCCATTTCTGATCTCATATATACTTGATACTAAACCTCTCTTGCCAAAAGTATATCATGTGATTCAGTCCATTTCATGGGTCTGTTAACGGTAAATTTAGGTCTCCATTTAAATAAGTGCATATGTTTTCCTATTACTATCTTATAGGCAAAGTATATCAACCATTTTGACTCTAAAAAGCAAATTTATGTCACATTTTTTGCGATTTATTAAACTACTTTGTAGTAAAAAATTTACCTGTATAAAAAGTGCAGTGCAAATTGCAAAAAGAAAACACTGATTTTTTGTTTCACTTGATAAACCAAAATTATGAATGACCGTGTATGATAGAAAAAGTTATTCCAATGACTATCCGCAATGCTACCTTAAAATTTCAATGAAGCTTGAACTTACTTTGTTGTTGTACAAATGGACTTCGAAGCAGCACTTGCGGTTGCCATCTGGTACTATAAAACCTATAAAACCATCATGTTAGTTTTAATGCGTTTCTAAACGATCAGAGAAATAACAATTATTTTAAAATTGTACTCATAAGTAAGTTAAAACGATTATATTTACTCACGTTTTAGCCACAACGTCAAAATCAAATTTTCAGGTCTTGGACAAGACCGCGACGGCGGGAAGACGTGCATAATTATGCTCGTCCCAGTCTAAACCGAGAAATGGCGTCGCCGTCGTCGTGAAAACGTTGCTTGCTTAAGTTCGCTGATTTCGGGATAGAGGAGTGCCGTTTTCGAACCCGAAGAGGGGGCCTGGAGAGCTGCCCCGGAGCTGGAGGAAGTGGACCACGGCATGCACGGCACAGATCGAAGTGTTCGTACGGCCCAGTCGCAGCGTATGTCCTCGACGAAATTGATCCGTTTTTGAAGCTTTGATGCGTAGAAACAGAACCGACGGATTCACTCGCTGGTCTACCGATATGTCCGACAACGACAAATGCACTGTAGGGTCATAGGTACCGGTCGTGGTAAACTCGCCCGAACGCAGAAAACCGAAGAACCCTGTACAGCACGCCGCCCAGAACAATGCGTCCCGGTAGTTGCGCAGGTCAAGCAGCGAGTATATCCGGCGAAGAATGGAGGCTGTTATCGGTAAACGCGGCCGACTGGCGAGACCTTGAGTACGTTTTATCCCGCGAAGAACCTGTTCCAATCGGAGACAATTAGAGAGAGGATTCCCGAAGCCGCTTTCGACATGTAAGGAACGAACTCCTGACAGATACACCTTTATCGAGCTCGCCTTGAGGGAGGAAGACAGCGCGGTTACAAACAGGATTAAGGTCCACTCGCTCGCTGGGAGAGGAGAGCCCGATTCGTGAAACTGCCCACTCCAGTAGCAGAATTCGAGAAAACGGCGATGGGCCGCACTGTATGTTCGCCGGGTCGATTTGGCTAGGCCGTTGATAAGCAGGGCGGTAGCTTTCTCCCTCAAAGATTTGAGGTCAGTTTCGCTTGCAACTCTGGTGGAATCGAACGAGGGACTTTGTGCGCCTCGGGGGCCAGGCGGAAAAACTCCTGAAAGTGGAATCGAGATAAAGCATCAGCGATTGAATTTCTTTACCAGGTAAATGCACTGCGGAAATACGAAAATCGTGCGTGGCTGCCACAAGAAAGAGCTCCCGGACTAAGTCCATGATCGTATCGTCTTTGCAGGCACCAGACGTAATGATTTGCACCACACTCTGATTATCGCAGTGGAAGAGCACGCGTTGATGACGCCAGTTGTGACCCCACAGGTGACATGCAATAACAATTGGGTACAACTCCTTGTACGCCATACCAAAATGCAGTTGCCCCGGTAACCACGCTGCCGAGAACCATTCCTGGCGGTAAAACCCGCCGAAGCCTTTGTTACCGGATGCGTCCGTCGCGAGTTCGAAGTCGGGCACCGGGGTCCATTCCGGAAGGTCGAAAAACGAAATGCCATTCCACGATGGTAAAAACGAGTCCCACCATTGCAAGTCCAGGCGCGCTTGTTTGGTTAAACGAATAAACTTTTGGTGTGGCTTAGCTGTGCGAAGCAGACTGATCAGACGTTGAATAAAAGTCCGGCCATGTACGACGACCCCGCATGCATGATTAAGCTTACCGACTAGCGATTCCATCTGTTTACGAGTGCAAAACTTCTTCCCAGCCCATTGCGTAATAAGCGTTTGTAGCTCCGATAGTTTTTCGCTTGGGAGGCGCGCGGTCATGTTATCGGAATCTAGCTCAATACCCAGAAAAGTTAAGCACGTAGTTGGCCCCTCGCACTTATCAGGGGCCAGCGGCACACCAAGTTCACGCGCAGCATCCTGAATGGCGCGAATCGAATCTTCACAGGTTGATGTCCCTGCCGGACCGAGAGTAAAATAATCATCAAGGTAGTGGAGCACATCTACTACACCGTATTGGTGTTGCAAAATCCATTCAAAGAGATCCGCTAACGTATTAAAAATCCCGGGTGCAGACCGAAGACCAAAAGGTAAAGCTAAGTCAATGAAATATTTATCGCGCCACCGCATTCCCAAGAAATGACGATCGTCCGGATGAATTGGGACAATACGGTACGCCTTTTGAATATCTACCTTCGCCATTAGCGCACCCCTGCCGGTTTTAATTATGAACCGAATGGCGTCCCGAACTGAACTATAACTGACCGGAAAATCGAATTTGGATATGCCGTCATTGACACTGTGATCAAGCGGGAACGATAAGTCTAATATTAAACGCCACGGGTCCGGTCTACTTTTCTTGGGAATCACTCCAAACCGACTGACATGCAAATTTGGCAACGGTGGCGCGTCGACAGGTCCGACCACTCGGTGAGCTTGAATTTCACCCGCGACTGTTGCTAGCCGCAGCTTCTCGGCGATATGCGCGATCGTAATGAAACCAGCCCATGCCACCGAACCGCTTCGATGTGCGAATTATTAGCGCCATGTACGCTAACAGGTCGCGAGCGCGCGTGGGGAAAATGCTGGTGAGGACGGCCGTGTAACTATTAAAGCATTCCACCCATGTAAGAATGTCCGAGATGTCCCGTTTTTTCCCCGGTTGTGGTTTAGTAACAATTTGGGCCCCACTATAGAAAAGGAGGGCAACTCGTTTGGCGGTTCTTCTAGATTCTCAGGAATCAGTTCTGACAAATCAATAAATTCGTGCGACACGATCTTTTTCACCAGCTTGGCCGGGATTGGCGACCGGCCAGGACCGAGGACAAAGGCATTTTCAGGGCTAGCATTATACAACGCCCCGACCGTGTTAGGGCGATTTAACTGTTCGACAGGTTGGTTACCCACAACAGAATTTATGTTCGATTGGTTGTTGGCTGGGGGACCCGTGTGTGCACTATCCTGATTAGTTGGGATGAATGACGGGACATTCAACATACCTTGACTTGCATCTGTCGCTGGGTCACTTCGAAAAGTGCGCGCCGGGTCTCCGAGCTGCTCTAGTTGTTGGGCCCGTTCTACAGGCCCTCTTGCCTCGTGAAGCACTTCATTCACTAAGGATTTAAAGCCACTGACAAACTCCGCTGATTTGAAAGCGGCTTCCCATGAAACGCCCGTGGTCGCCAGGTTGTCCGAACTAGACGCTTGAGTCTCCTTTGCCTTTGGGTTATCGTTCATAATGATGTGAATACCAGCCAAGTTAACTCACAAACAGAGAAAGAAAGAAATTTACTAATAGCACTTTACCACAAGCTGCTGTTGTCGACGTTATCGCTCGTTCGCCGACGGGTTGTTAATGCCTTCTGCGGGCTCTGCTCCGCACCTTGCCTCCACTCGCCCCTCCCATTCGGTCACGTGGTTACCTGACGTCACTGACCGGTTTCCTCGTTGTTAACCTTGGTTATTGCATAACCCCATTTAAAACAGAAGCGATTGGGTTATAGTATTTTTCTCGAGCTATATTTTGGTGGTATCTATGTGTTTTTAGCTCGCGCATTCGCAGAGCTATTGGAATTTTAAAAAAGTCGGACTCTAACGTCCGAAATTAATCTACACCGGACGGGAATGAGTTTTAAAAGGAACATTCGATTCATTCTCATCATTCATTCTGATCAATTGAATGAAAACACCAATTGAAAACACAAAAAATTTACACTTATGGAATGTCAAATAATCTCAACTTTAATCAAATACCAGACTTACACTAACAGTAGTCAAAATGTGCCAAATATAAAAGTATTGCATATACATGTATACCACCAACATAACAGTCTCATAAGAATAACCCCATATAAACAACCTAACATAACAAATTGTCTTCAATGTTTTCTTCATTTAGTCTTATTGTTTTGCCTAAACAGCGATACTTTGAGCAATTTTCTTATTTGTATCATATGAAATATGTAACAAGGAGGGTAAACTCATGAATAATGCCTCAATTTCATCCTTGGTTACAGATTTTTGGTTACAATTTTTGCCTTGGAGTTCAAATGCCTGCGAAATAATGTCTTGAAATGCTGTAAGCTCAATGACACTTTCTTCATCACTTTCAAAACAAAGCTGACAATACCAATTTCTCTTGCAAGCTTTTTCTTTCAACTTAAGACGACACGGATCACAATATCCATGCATAACCTTCAGAAATGTTAACTTTCTTGTTGCATTTAATACAGCCCATGTAATAACTGACTGAGCTAACACCAACAACTTCTCCAGTTAGAGAACTATGATTTGTTTGAAGTGCAATTGGCAATGCTTCAGTGAATGGCTCACATTCATTTACTTCACTTTCTGACATGGCTGTGTTGAGAAAAATCTCTTTCGTCAACTTATCACGTTTGATTCGCAGATTTCGGAAACAATATGTCTAACCGACTTTGACTGAACTTACAAATTCTTCCCACACCACAAGCTTCATTGTAGAGGATGGATCGACAATCATAACTTCTCTTAGTTCAAGCTGTCTTCCGTTGCTGCTTACTTTTTTGACTGGATGCAGATGTGCAACTTTTGCAGTGACAGTGATCAAGTGGCCAACACATAATGTGGATACTGTTGACAAATTGAACGAATTGAAAAAATTGAGTTTGGATGTAGGGAAGTTGACTTCTGGTGCTACTTCAATAGTTGTATGCCAATCCATCACAACATCTTCCATGTTTGAAGTAGTATCAATCCAAAACTTCTTTACCTTTACTGGCGTTGCTTTATCAGAAGCTTCCTTAAAGCGTTTCATCTTAGGAGGCGAGAAACAAACCCCACGAACGACAGTCTCCTTCGTTTGTAAAACACAATCAAAGTATTTCCCTTTCTTCACCGGCGAGACATTATGAATGTATGCAACAATTTCTCCCTGAAGCCCAGGCTTCGATGTCTCTGCAGAACCAACTAGTTTAAGATCTTTCTCCACCTCATTAACACAGTCAACAAGATCTGAGTCTACTGCGCTCTCCATATTTAAATGATCAGAATCCATGAACTGAAAGAAAATAGCTAAAGAATAAATGCATGCATGCTAAGCCAACCCATGCATGTGCCATATAACGGAAGGATGATACCGTGATACGTATTCTTTGGCAAAGCGTCAGCGCCTATTGGCTACATCGATGCCTCCTCGATGCAACCACGTTAGCGACAGCTAAAATATGTTTTGAAAAATTTCATATTCGTTTTTTAGGTCGCTTTTTCGGTTTTTAAGGAAAAACAGTGCTTTTTTGAAATGGTTATACTACCTTAGAGGCTTAGATATCCTGGAATGATATTTTAGCGGGAAAAAACTCGTTAAAAACGACTTATTTTGGCCTCGGACATCGTGAATGAGTGAACATCCGGGACTTAGATTTGCCCCCCATTAACGCGCTCCCCAATTTCTCCTAATTCCCTCGATGCCCCCTCTAGTGTTATTAGGGAGCTTTGGAAGCGAATAGCGAGTACGAGTACGAAATTCGTCATTCTCGCGCGTTGTTTGTTTACGCCATCAGCCAAAACTGAAAACTCGTAGTCGTTGGGCTTTTGAGTACGGGCACAGATTAAAACCTGTTACAGATTAATCTGTGGTACGAGTTTGTTGAAAAATTTCGTACTCGAAAGCCCAACGACTACGAGTTTTAGCTGTTGGCGCAGAAATAACGCGCGAAAATGACGAATTTCGTACTCGTAGTCGTACTCGTAGTCGCTGCTAAACCTCTCTATTTATAATCTCTACGGGCCCACTTATGGCACAGATTAATACCCAGATCACAGGAAGTGCCAGTCAATGTGAAGATATTCACACACTTTTTTAATTAAATATGTTGGAAAATATACCGTCAAACGAGGATTATAATTTTTCGCTCCTACGACAATCGAAAAAAGATAAAATACTCGTACAATATTGAAAACGAGGTACTCTTAACTCACTTAAGTCTTTTCCAAAGCGCGTATAGATGATGATGGATTCAGACACAAACTAGTACACAGTCCCTTTCGCTAGCAAATGAGAGGAGGTTTTTTTCCATGTATAAAATAGTTCGGCTCCATTTTGGAATTCCTCTAGTCACTTGCTGAACAAGCGCTTAAGCTTTTTTAATGAGAACAGAGACATCTGGGTATTAATCTGTGCCTATAGTATGGTATCGCGCATGCACAGCTCATCCTAAAGCAAAACATAGTTGATGCAACACCACCCAAAATTTTCCCCTTACAACTCTGAACTTTTCCTTACAGCACCATTACCCTGATACTATTACAGAACACCCTTTACCAAAAGCCATATTCTCAATATTTGCAGCCAATTCGCACACCACCACTGAAAATTTCTTACAATACTGACTATATTACCATCTCTAACTTTGTAAATTGAAAACATCAGTCAACCATAACCTTTATAAGCATTTTTTTTTAACATAAATCACCTTATTAACTACTCCTGCTATTAGGTATAATTTCATATCAAATACATGACTGAAAGCATCAATGACTTTTCTTAGGTCACACAGGGACACCTTTACAGGTTTAAACTAAGATGCATTACAAAAAGCGAATAAATCGTCTGTAGATCATTGAGGCACAAGGTATGACCTATGCCATGTAAATATCACTTCTGGTTATAACTATTGTATAAACGCTTTATTACGGGTTAGGTAAAAAATATATCGAAAAAACAGAACAACAAGGTTTCACGGCAGTCGGAAGAAACAAAATATTCATAAAAACCAGGGGGGAATTACTATAGCGGGCTCAGAATTGAGCCTGGTCAGTGGTATTACCATGGGCAAAGGGGACCAGGTGACGTCAAAATGACGTCACAGAGGCCAAAATCCGCTATGTTTTTTGCTTCACTTTTTGAGCAAAAAACATTTGGAGACGGTCATTGGAGCCGGTCCTCCAGGAATGATTATATAGCTCAGTGAATTTAATATAGCTCAGTGGTGGGAGGAGCAAGTCCTCCAGGAATTACTATATAGGTCAGTGGGACAACACAACACGCGTGCAGTTTTATCACAGACTCACAGTGTCAGTCTGTTTTCTAAATTCGTTCATTTGATTACTTGGTATCAGAGAAGATCATGGAATTGGAGAATTTGCCTTTTGCAGTGAGGTACAATTTTGATACTTAGCAAAAGCTTAGCTGGAGAACGTTTAAAAAAAAATTACAACCTTCCTATCGTAGTACCACGCTTGTGTCATTAGTTCAGTCCGGACACAGATATGAATTCTTCGATTCTCTCTATTATTTCACCTTCCTTCAAAGCTGAAACATGTTCACGGCGAGGACAAATAGCATCATCATCAAAAAGCCTCATTGTGAGCACGGGATTGATTGTTTATAACTAGGCATAGTGAGAACACCAGTTTGGTCACTTTGGTGTAGATATTCAAATATGTGGGACATGTTTTGGGGAGTCATGGTTGATTATGTAAAAAAATGGGTGGCTATTTAGCCAAATAGGTCCACCAAAACATGAATTGCCCTAAAATTACACTCTTTCTCAAATAAATTACAAAATTACACAAACTAATAATATAATATAAACTCTGATTCTATTTGGGAGTCAATTGTTTATATTCTACTTTGCTCAAAGAAAGAGTAAAATTAACTGATTTTTTCCTAAATGTGGCTCTCTGCATTTTATGATTTGGTTGGTTGAAAAAATTATGAGATATATTGAAAGCTACAAAGTGTTATATGAATAAGACAGTACAATCACATCACATCACTTTGCTTTTTGTTCCCAAATGAGTTATACAGAGTATGATTCTTCAACTTTAATGCGCTGAGCTGGGCCTCCCCTCAATATATTTGACGAAGAAACTCAGGTGTAATTGTTGATCATATCTAGCTCTATATTACTCAAATCTATTAGTACTCAAGTCAATTAGGTTTTTATGAGACTCTAATATACCTTCAAGTCTTAATTATTAGATAACCTTAGGTTATGTACAGTAGGAGGCAAAAGTTTGAGTCCAGTGACTGTATTTCATTGTTTTAGCAGCATATATTAATATCCTACAGAAAACCTTACCGATAAGTGAACTAGAAAAAAGTAAATAAGTAAACAGAAAAATACATGCTGTACAACAACTATGAGATGTTATGATATTCATTTTTACGTATTTTAATGTGCAAACATGCATTTACATGTCATTGCTTAGTTCCCTCTTTTTGCTCTTGAAATGACCTTTATTCTTGCTCGCATAGATTCCATAGGTTTTTTAATGTCACACGTTCAATACCTTGCCAGCATTCGTTGACCACTTGCCTCAAGTCAGCCTGGCTGGCGGGTCTGTGCCTCGCCCTCTTCCGGTTAAAACGGTTCTACAAGTGCTCCATAGGTTTTAGATCTGGAATATGAGGTGGAAAGCCATGACAACGAGATCACCAGAATGAGTTTGCTTCTAAAAGATTTCTGGCACATAGAAGATGTGCATGTGCTTAGGGTGATTATCATGTAGTTAGACGTGCGATCATCTTTGTACCAGATGAAATTCCATGTCCTTGAAGAATTGGATGATACTTTTCTTTAATTAGGATCCTATTATATCTTTCAATATTGCCAAACCGAGCATGACCAAAGCAGCTAAAAGTTTGCTTGAGTAGGATTTAGTTTCTTCGAACCGTCCAAGGTTAGTTGCATACAACCTTTTTAAATTCTCACTTTTTCTGCGACCTTACGAGGAAAGAATCCTTCAATACTTAATGCAACTATTTGTCCTTGTGCACCATCACTTTGCCCTTTTTCCCACCCATCTTGGGCAGTGTAAAGGAATGAGAACTTTATTTTGTTATAATTTAGATCATTAGGACCAAAACAGTGTGCAATTAATATAGTTTACAGTACTGAAACACTAGCACGCATGTCTTAACTCGAATACGCTGCCAGGATTTAATACTGGAATTCTACAACGACTGGACTCAAACTTTTGCCTCCTACTGTACATCTCTTCCCCCTGCAGTTTTCATCCAACTCTATAGCTATTATTAAAGAAGGCTAATGGAAGAGTGTGAGCATACAGTATAAAAGCTACCTTGGTGAAAGTACTGCATTTGTGTGCATTTGTGGTACCATTTTCTCTTATTATATACATTTTAAGTGGGTATCGAATAATTTTGGAAGAACTGCACATTCTCTGCCCATGGTAACATATAATTTTAAGGCTCTTTTCCACTCATAGCAAAATCAACTCACAAGCTCGCTGCAAGTGTTTGCATCTAATTGAAATGAGCTGTCAAGCATTGTGATTGAACGAAATTACCCGCAGCAAGCTTGCGAGTTAGTTTTTGCAATGAGTGCGTGAGTGAGAGCATAGGCGGCCCAAAATTAGCGGCCGAAAATTTTTTCGGCAATTTGTCAATGCAATTCACAAATTGCCGAAAAAGTTTTCGCCGCCAATTTTGGGCCGCCTATGGTGAGAGGCTTTAATCAACCTCACCCTGATTGAAGACATATGAAACCTTGTAAGTGCTAAAAACATCAATTTCATTAATTTCAGCACAGTACAAAAATCCAACCTACCAGATGCAAAAAAAACAGACAAAATTGATTCATGGAATCCAATGGATGAAGACTTTTCTTGCGCAACATTTAACTCTTATAAATACTTTAATGTCCTTAAAGCTGAACTTCCTGGCAAAAAGTAAGTAACATATTGTACTAATTAGGCAAATTTAGGCTACTGGTATCCTTAATCTATTTAGTTTAAAAAAATTATGATTATTGGCACTTCACTCGATGTAGGTAAATTCGAGAGGTCTTAATTTCGAGTGAAATTATACACACTTCAAATTCAAGCCAGGAACAGTTGATGGATGCCGATGCAATCTTGCCACTGCCCACTTGACTTGTTTTTCCATCAACTGTTCCTTGCTTGAATTTGAAGTGTGTATAATTCCACTCGAAATTTAGACCCTTTCAACCTCTAGAATCTAATTTAAAAAGTTGAAATACCAAAATTGGTATAATTTCCAAGTTTGGCCGTAAAATGTCTGACAGTATTACGGAAAATATAGCCATGCGAATTTGACAATTTTGTATACTTTTTTACTCACTTCCGGCCGTAGTGAAAAAGTATACAAAATTGCCAACTTCGCATTGCTATGCATGCTTTCCGTACTTTACAATATTTTGCAGCCAAACTCGGTAATTTTTCTAAATTTAGTATGCACATTTCGGAAATTTCCTTTTAGTTGCCTAAATTAAAAGTTGGTCTATTATGCAAAAGGTCGATTGATAGAAGCTTTTTTTACTCAGGGGCATAGCTAGAACAATAATTGGGCGGGGGCGGAGGGTGGTTGTTTATCATCCAAATATCAAGCACCTAGTTTTCATTCTTGTTACGCCACTGTCTTTCCTTATCATATGGTTCTTTAGGGTTTTTTTATCCTAATCATGGGGAATCACCTCCAAAAACCTCAGACTTCACAATCACTTGATTTTTTAATTTTATTTTAAATTCTTCTTATTACATAATTCCCCAAAAGCAAATCCCAAAAAGAATCACAACGCATTTAGCACTATTTTCTAATTGGTTAGTTTTAATTAGATTAGTTATGTTGACTTCCTTTTAGTTTTATTAGTAAAAGTAAATGTCATTATGTATTAATAAATGTAACTTAGTGTCCCTGATATAACTTTAAGAACTTGTCAGTCACATTTTCTAATTTCTAATAACATTTTCACGTTTTATTTTGTTTCTCACTTTAGTTTAATGTCTCATACATTCAACTTTCCCATCTCTTGCTTTCTGACCTTTAAGTCATGTCTCTACATATTATATAAGCCTAATTTAAATCTGATTAATTATTCGTCTAAACATCCTTCCTTCCAGACTAGCGCAGTCTGGGCGAGTATAAACACTCTACTGCTGTGGTAGTAATAAAATAAGCTTGGTAGGGTAACAGGTCTAAAATTGTTCCATTGTTCGTTATAACTTTTGCTGACCGAACAAGTCCTTTGTCATCGGCGTACGCTTGGTTGAGCGCCACCCGCTCGCAGGTCTTAGAGGCCACAGGAAGCAGAGAAACGAGACGGTTATCATTTGGTGTTTCATAATCCCCCTCCTTTAAAATTGGAATGACCTGGTTCATCTGGCTTCCCATACCGCGTCTCTAGTTGCCTCAATAGGATTGGATAATCTTGCCCAATTAATAGGTCGATTCCCTTTTTGTCCAAAATAACATCGGCATCTTGCAAATAGGGATACTTCCTCAACATCAATAGTCTGACATGATCAACTGATTCTTTTGCGTGGTCATGGAGAAAGTCTCACCCCCACTAACAGCTTCTTTCGTATGTTGATTGTGGATTCCTCCCGTTCGCTTTCATGGATCTTGAGGGAACAAGGGGCCATTTTCCTTCACATCTTCTCCGACTGATCTTCACAATACTGTTGCAGATCTCGAGCGGCGAGGGGTCTTGATACCACTTTTAATAAAACGAACTGCGCATGTCCCAACCGTCCTCTTTTCTCTTGTGGCATTTTTTTGTCGGAGCTTATAAATATTCATCAAAATCCAGAGTTTTATTGTGCATCCCCTAGGAATCTTCCTTGGAAATATGTCTACGACGGAAATACAAGCCGTAAGTACCGAACCTTCCTTTCTTTCAGGCGTTTTGATGCGATTTTATTATGAAAATGTGGTGATAGAGATTTCCTTATTGTTTACATGTTATCTCGTATATATTATGATATTTATGTGTATATTATTATTGAAATTACGGGTTTGGGTTTTATTATTTACCTTGGGGGTTATATAGAGCTCCTTCTAGGTGTCGATAGCCCCCGATGTCGCCCTTGGTGTTTAGGTAGTCGTATCCACATAACGACTGAAGGTTTGAGTCAATGACCGCCTTCTGTTACTCTCTAGGGTAACGAAAGTGCGCCAGACGTCCCGATCCATAAGGCGGGCGCTGGCGAAGCCATTAAAGCCCCTTCTAAACCGGAGGAGGCAACAGCACCAGTGGCAGAGATGTCTGCCCCATCGACTTCTGGCTGGGGGGACCCGCAGGCAGATCTTGCCACAGACCTCCGAGAACTGACCATCCAAGCCTTCTCCAAATCTCTTCCCAAGGAGACCTGGCAGGGGCTCTTAGAGAATTACCCCCTTAACGGGTATCGAATTCCTTTCAACTGCCTCCACCATGGAGGCAGGCATGAAAGAAGAGATACGGAAGAGACATGGGTACCACAAAACCAAGGATGTCTTCACCTTTGATGATGCCTTAGCAGAGAAGCAAGGGGCTTTCCTTCTTACTGCACGACCCATTCTAGCAGCCCTCACTGCTCTTGACCGCCCCATGGAGGAGGATGAGGAGGGGCCAGACTCTGACCTGATTAAAGGTATGCTTGAAGACGCTCTGGTGCTGCTTGGAAATGCTAATGTTCGCCTGAATTCCTGGCGACAGCATCGGTTTTCACCATATTTAACTGAAGTTGGGAAACGTACTCGGATCAACACCTGTTCCCAGATCGTTTTCATGACCGCATTAGAGATGAGCATAACCATAACACTACCAACAAGAGTTTGATAAGCACACCACCAGATCGACCTGCCTCATCAAAGATATTCATACCATTTCGTCAGCCTTTTCGAGGGCGCTCACCTTCCACCATCACATCAGGTGGAAGGAGACACCAATGGAACTATAACCATCGTGAACAAAGTACCAGACGGGCAGGTGCAAAACGATTTAAAACCCAAGGAGCCCGAGGAGAATCAGCATCAGCAAGCAAACCAAGCTGATTATCTGTTTCCTGTGTTAATAGACAGACAACATTGTTCTCCATTGGCGGCAGGTCGTCTTATTCGTTGCTTGGAGAACTGGAAAAAGATAACTCAGGACCCTTGGGTCCTACAAACTATTCAGGGATACAAAATACCCTTAACTCATTCTCCCTTCGCCCACGGTCATCACAACAACACTTAATGAGCAATGCAGTCAAGGAGCTTCTTACCAAGGGAGCCATCAAACAAGTTCAACCAGTGGTGGGACAGTTTGTGTCCACTCTATATCTAGTCGAGAAGGAGAGCAGTGTAGGTCAATACCGGCCAGTTATAAATCTCCGAGCTCTGAACCGATTTGTGGAATCTCAACCATTCAAGATGGAGAGCCTTCCAGTGGTGAGGGCTTTAATCCAGCCAGGAGATTACCTGATGAAGATAGGCTTAAAAGACGCCTATTATACTGTGCCCATTCACCTAGGACACCGCCAGTACCTTCGCTTCTTATACCAAGGGACTCTATACGAGTTCGGTTGCCTCCCATTCGGTCTCTCAGCGGCCCCTTGGGCCTTCGCCAAGCTCCTGAAACCTGTAGTTGCCCTGCTTCGTTCATTAGGAATCCGTCTAGTCGTCTACCTGGACGATATACTACTGCTGCACTCGAACAAAGGTGTTCTGCTCAAGATTTTCCACCAGGTCATCAGTCTTCTACAGAACCTGGGGTTTACAATCAACAGGAAAATGTTCATCTCACGCAATTCAGAAACTGGTGAGTTCTGAACACAGTGGAGATGTCAATTTCACTCCCACCACAGAAACTAGAGCAAATTGTTCGAGAAGCAAAACAGATTCTAGAGACAAAACAAACATCCCTGGAGAGGCTGTCTTCTCTAGTTGGCAGGATGAGTCATGCTGCTCAGACGAATGTCTGGAGGGCACCACTGTTTTATCGCAGCCTTCAACGTGACCAGGCCACAGCCATTTACCGCTGTTGCCAGCCTAGTCCCTAGGCCTCTTAACGTTCCTTATACGCGGCGAGGCGGGAACTTTGGCTAAAGTGGGGACTTTTTGTCCCCACTTTCTGTATTGAGGTCAGTTTACGATCTACGACGCGGTTAACTGGCCTTGTTCGTCGTCGCTAGTCAAATATTTGCTTGAAATAAGCTACGGGATATTAATTATACGGCCAGGACTTCGAAATATTCATACAAACGTTTCAATGTCATTCGCTGTCAACGCTATCGACTATCAAGTAAACTCGAGTCCGTACGTACATGTTTATGATTATAATAAGCTTCAATCCGCCAATTTAAATTATTCTCGCTTCCTTTATAACGGTTATTGCTGTAAATTGCAAACAGTTACTTTGTAATAACAATTCTAATTTCAATTTGACAGCATTAAACGGGCCGTTAAGATTTGAAAACATTTTGTGCTAGGCCTCTCGCGCGCGTTTCATTCGGTGACGTCACGGAAATATAAAACACGCGCAATGAGAGGCCTGGGACTAGGCTGCACTGTGGCAGGCACCACAGGAAATTTCAGTTGACTTTATCCCAGGAGAGCCAGAGAGAACTCCGGTGGTGGTCTTCGCCTCAAATTGCTACCTTCAATTGCCAGCCACTTGCACAACACCTTTCGATCAGACCATCTCAACAGATGCTTCTCTAGCTGGATGGGGGGCAACCTGGAATGGGGTGACGACCGGTGGTCGTTGGCTCCCACAGGAGCGAAGATCTCATATCAATATGTTGGAGCTGAAAGCAGCATACCTGGCCTTACAAGCCTTTTTCAACTCCGAGAAGTCCCCCAGACACATTCTGCTGCAGATGGACAATGCAACAGCCGTCGCATATGTGAACAAGAGGGGGGGGACCAGATCTCATGCCCTCTCGGCACAGGCATTGGACTTGTGGGGCCTAGTGCTGGAGAGAAAGTCTTGGGTCACGGCACAGCACATCCCTAGAACATCGAACGAGGTAGCGGATGCAGCATCGAGATGTTTCAACAACAACCTGGAGTGGTGTCTACGCCCGGATTTTCTTCAGGCGGGTGGTAGAACGGTTCTACCGGCCATCAGTGGACCTCTTCGCGTCACGGACCAGCCATGTTCTTCCACAATATGTCTCTCGTCACCCAGACCCAACAGCAATTTCAACGGATGCCTTCCGATGCAACTGGGGCAGATGGAGGAGCTGGATATACCCCCCAGTGATATTACTTCCGCGGATCCTGAACAAGATAAGGCAGGACAAGGCAGCAGCTCTGATTCTAGCCCCTTGTTGGCAGGGACAACCATGGTTTCCTCAGCTACTGGATCTGCTGATTTCGCTTCCGTTCGAGCCATAGAAGGAACATCCCCTCCAAGACAAGCTCCGACTGACGGTATGGCCCGTATCCGGGAACGCTATCGCAATTCAGGACTTTCAGAGGCGGCTACAAGAATTCTCCTATCATCCTGGAGTGAAGCCACCGAGAAGCGGTACTCAGGCCCATGGAACGCTTGGGCAGGCTGGTGTGCTAAACGGTCTTTGTGTCCCTTTACTGCCCCTGTAGACAGCGTTCTCTTCTTTCTGGCGGAGTTAGCAGACCAGGATAAATTAGCCTACAGGACGATCGGAGAATACAGATCGGCTATCTCTCAAACCCATGACCCAATAGGTAATGTTCCGCTGGGGAAACTACCCATAATGTCGCGGTTTATGAAGCGGATCTTCAAGCTAAACCCCCACGGCCTAGGGACTACATGGTGGGTTAGAGATGTGTTAGCATTTATGAAGGCACAAAAGCCAGTCGAGGAACTTAGCTTGAAAGAACTTTCGTGGCAATTAGTTTTGCTGTTAGCCTTAACATCAGCAGCACGGGCCCATGAACTAGCAGCATTAGACCTGTCGTTCCTTACTGAGATAGATGAATCATGGGAGTTCTCCTTGACGATTCATGTTAAGCAATCTAGCATATATATAATAGATAATCTGCATATCCAGAGAATGCCAAATTCTGCGTAGTCCGTACTCGGATGGAATACCGGGGCAGGACGGCGAAATTCCACAGATCATCTAAGCTTTTGTTGGCAATAGTTTCCCCTCATGCACCCATAACGGCTCAGACGGTGTCAAGATGGTTAAAGAACGCTCTAGCACTTGCGGGGATTAATCCTGAGTATACAGGACATTGGACTCGAAGTGCATCAACATCCACTCTTGAACGTACACTCTTCAAACCTTTGATTTCTAATGATCAAATCTTTCCCTTTCACTCTACGCTTTACGTCAACCGAATGAGTTATATCAGATTTATCAGTTTTTGTTTGACTCGCGCTCTGCTTTACGGCATCGCATCTCACGATGAATTTCAATTTCAAGCTCCAACGCTTGAACCTTAACCTCTTGCAGCTTCTCTTCATAATTTAATTTTTCTTTGAGCTTTTCAATTCTTTCCTCTGCTTGGCGATCCTTTTCCGAATCGGCGGTTTCTTTCTATTTACACGACAGTTTTTCCGAAATTACTTGTTTTTTGCTTTTAGATGAACGCGAACTCGAACAACAGTTCTTGCTACATCCTATAATGTATTCGTCCGCTTGAGTCAAACAATGTATTGTCTTCTCCTCAAGCTCAATCAGCTTGTCGAGGGCAAGGTTCATGTCTATATATCATCTGTTAAACTAAGTACGTGTTCGTTGTGGTACGCTTTGTCCCCTTCAAGTGCTTCTTTAAGTGTATTCTTCTCGATTTCCTTCACTCCCGCCTGCTCAAGCATCAAAGCATTTATTCGATTTATAATCTTTGTTACATGCGACATTTTACCGCGACAGCTCGCTTTCTTAACACGTCTAATCTCTTCTTTGTCTATAGAGTTTTCACCTTTCGCTCTACATATTATATAAGCCTAATTTAAATCTATTAATTATTCGTCTAAACAGTCCCTATCCGAGCAACAGCTAGTAATTAGTATTTTTGTGACTACCGCGTAAGCGGTAGCCACTATGTCAGAGGCTTGCTTGCTGCTTGCTTGCTGCTTGCTTGCTTGCTTGCTTGCTTGCTTGCTTGCTGCTTGCTTGCTTGCTTGCTTGCTTGCTTGCTTGCTTGCTTGCTTGCTTGCTTGCTTGCTTGCTTGCTTGCTTGCTTGCTTGCTTGCTTGCTTGCTTGCTTGCTTGCTTGCTTGCTTGCTTGAATGCTTGTCTTCGACCATGACGTCACACTCGTCACACAACTGATGTACATCACACTCGGCAGTTTTCGCCATTTATCGCCAACCTTTCCGGTGCAATCAAATATGCAATTCAAATGCAAATTATTTTAGTATCAACACAGCTTTTCTATACGTACGTTGTTTTGCTTACATTTTTGAGCTGTTTGAACTTTGCACGTCTTACTCAAATATAATAATCAATATTTAAACGACACATATGGTCTTCTAGTGTGAAAACAGCTACAGTAATTAGACGACACCTGCAGACCGCCGACAGCAGGCGGTTTGTTTGTCTATAGACGATTTGTTCGTCTTCTGATGTGAAAACGGCTAATCGCTCTTAATCAATACAGCGGATGCGTTGCAAAACCAAATGCAATTTCTATACTTTAATAATAACATGTAATATTTGTAGATGTGAATGCTGTCTGCTGAAACTTTAGTATATAGCTCACATGCACAATCAGTTTCTGTAAACATAAGTACAGGCAGGAACGCAAAATAAAAGGCCGTCACTGATCCATTGTATTTTTCTCTGACTGACAAAGGATTTTACACATGCACCAATGACCTCCGGTAATGACATGGCCCATTCTTTGGACTACAGGGTGTCTTAAAAAAAACGCAATCACTTAAATATGCAGAACATTAATACAGCTCTAAAGCGCAATAGATACGCACCTCTGGGAATTGAAAATGGCTCTTAATCCTTCATTTGAAATGCTAAAAGTCATTTTAGCTGAACGATGGTGCAAACCCGAACAATATTAATATTCTTGCATATTTAAGTTGTCGCGTTTTTTTTGAGACACCCTATACAGTAGTGTCAACCACGCGCTTTAGTATAAAAAGTCACACCCAGTTTACCGTGCTGATTCAGTGAATCAGTTTAATCAGACGATATTCATGGCTTCAAGAAGAAATAATCCGGCCGTTATTGGCTACATACACAACCTGTCACCTTTGAAAAAAGGTAAACTGAATGGTGCGACTTCGAACTCCAAATGCAAGACAAACGGGTACAACTATTAGCACTAGTTATTCTGCCAGCCATATCCATGATACCACTCAGATGACAAAGACAGAGCGGTTGTCACATGTACGCGCTGCGTACCTATTTTTGCACTAGTGAATATGAAAAATCCTACATTCTGATTGGTCAAATTTGTCGTATTATGCTTTAATATTCACCTTGACGGCTAGCCGTTTTGTGGACGTTTCCTGCAAAGAGATAAGCGAGCAAATGCAGTTCTTGTGTCAATTCCCTTGTGGAAAAATGCTAAAACAAATATTCGCCTTATGCTCGGTGATTATCGGGGAATATTCATCTCGACTTCGTCTCGGGAAATATTCCTCGATAATCACCTCGCCTTCAGCGAATGATTGTTAAATATTATAGTGATTGTTATCTAACACTATACATTAACGTCCTTGAGGCCATTTTTCTCTACTTCGTTCATCTGACTGGATTATCACTACATCACCTTCCGCTACAGTAAATGAGGTTTTCTTGGTTTTCTGACTATGACGTTCTCTTAAGCCACGAAGATACTCGTTTGTCCACCTTGCCACATAGCATCTTTACACTTTAGTAGATACTTCGCACGTTTTCGCAAATCAACTTCTTCAACATGATTCATGGTTCAAGCTCTGGTTCACACGTTGATCCGACGAATACATAGAGTTAGGTGTCAGTGTAGGCAACTTTACATCGTACTCGACATAACTGAGAGGCCTATACTATTTAGTGAAACCTCAATAGTGATGAAACCAAGTAAAACTTCCTGGCACTCGTTCCATTTGAGGCAACTTTTCCCGATCGTTTTGTTTAAAGCTCTTTTCACCAGTCTGATTAATCTCTCAAACTGCTCACCAAGGGGCGCGGCTTTGATTGATTTGATGCCAGGAAATCGTCGAGTTTCTCGTCTTTCTGCGCTGTTATCAGCCATTTAGCTGCGGCTTCGAACGTTTCAGCATTACTTTGTCCGGCCTTCCTCCCTGGCTATAAATCTTTTAAAGCTCTGCAGAAAATCTCTAGTTTCCAACGAAGGTAGCAGCTCGAGGTAGACTGCCCGCGAAAAGCCACATGCATACAGTAATATATATGACTTTGCTTTCTCACATAATTCCCCAAAAGTAAATCCCAAAACGAATCACAACGCAAGCACTATTTTCTAATTGGTTAGTTTAAATTAGATTAGTTATGTTTACTTCTGGTTAGTTCTATTAGTAGAAATAAATGGAAAAAATCGTTGCAAAACCTGTCATCGTGAATTGTTTCTTGTAAAGTTATCAAATTGCCCACATCATTCGGGAATATGGCACCATTTGTTTCCGCTTATCTGTTAAAATTTAATTTTGTTTGAATTCTGTAGCCTACTCTGAACCTTTTAGAACTCTGAAAATAGCAGCGCAAAAATTTTCTCCGCCTGTAAGGGAATTTTTTAAGAATATTTATGTTCTGCAATGATGTTAAAATTCTTTTTATTATAGATCTCCAGAGAAACGTTTGCAACAGTCACCAGAGAAACCGGCAGAAGATATCTCCTTATATATTGGCAATATTCCATCAACTATAACTAATGTAAGTTGAATGTGCATTGCATTCTTCTGCTTTGATTTTAATCAAATCGACAAAAACATCGGTGTTCTCCCCTTTCAATTATGCCGTATCTTTGCAGTGAGTCGGAATCGGGGACATTAACAGTGGTTGCCCCACTTGTCTCGGCCGGAGGGGGCCCAGGGGGGAGGAATACTTTTCCATTGTGAAGGATTGCAATTAATCGTTAAAAATCAGCTTTTTAAACAAGGCTTGAAATGCAGCCAATGAACTTTAAGAATAGCTCATTCCTTTGGCGGAAAACCCGAATTCCTAGATTTTATAACGAAAAAAAAATACGATAAGACGAAGTTTAGCCGTAAGTTATTTAAAAATTCTCTAATATACCTGAAACAGACGTTTTTTCAGCCCTTTGCCTTCGCATCATTCTGGAATCTCTGATTTTTGTTTGTGTATTACATATAGTTGAGTGCGTACTGTGCTCTTTTTCGGCACGGGCTATTGAGCCTGGTTTTGTTTCATCTGACATCATCCAAATGGCAGCAACTCCAACACGAAACCAGGAAGGGTGCATGTTTCATTATTAAGAAAGTTGATGGGTATTTTTTATTTTTTACAGGAAGGTATCAAAAACTTGTTTTTGGCTGTTGGCAAGGTACAGTCTTGCAAAATTTTGCCTCCAAAAGATTCCTGCAATGATACAAAATATGGGTGAGTACGATATGATACGATATTTCTCATCTTAATGGTTTAGATTAAATTGTGGTTTTTCGGTCCAAAGAACAAATTTTTTTCTGCATCTGACCGCAATTTTGGTTTTTTGGAAAAGTCAAAAGAGTGCTCAATACTATTTAACAATTAGTCGCCGAAGGCGAGGTGATTACAACCCTATATTCACTGAGCCGAAGGCGAAGTGAATATAGGCTTGTAATCACCGAGCCTGAGGCGACTAATTGTTTTAGTATAATTTCAGTATTGAAAAAGTTTTATTTTTAAATACAACTGATTTATGTTCTCAATTTCTGCTTCCGAAATTTTTCCAAAACGATTTTGAGTATTTTCAGCCATGTTTTTTGGGGGAAAAGCAATAGTTACTGCTCAGACTGCTCTGAGCAGTAACTATTGCCTCATAGTTACTGCTGAAGGAGCCAATCAGAATGCTCAAAGGTCATTTTTCAATACTGAAATTATACTAAAAGATGTTAGTAGAGCGAATTAAGTAGATGAAATTAAGTCTTAAAATGGATTTAGTTAGAAACACTTCTCCTCTACAAATACTTTACATAAATTATTCCGTCGAAATACAGTCAGAGTTAGCTACAGCTGCATGCCCAAAATTAAAAACCTAATATCTCGTCACAACAAGCAAGTATTATCAAAACCCGTAACCGCTCCAACTCAAGGTAATTGCAACTGCAGGAATTTGGAAGAATGCCCTTTGAATAAAAACTGCTTAACTAAAAACATTGTGTGTAAGGCAAGGGTGGCATCAGTCGACGGTATGACATACATACATACATACATACATAATTTATTTGAACTCCTCGCAAGACTTTTCAGCTCAAATTTACAAATGTCCTATGCTATTTATATTACCTATAGATCTATTTTACAACAATTTATATTACTAAGTATAAAAAATACGTATGGTAAGTATAGAAAACTATACTTAATTTAGAGATTCATTAAGAAGGCTCATCCTTAAATTATATTTGAAGCTTTGAACTGTATATAGCTCTCTATATAAAAGATTTCTGAGCAGTGGAATTTCTACATAGGGGTTTATGCAATTTATTTTCCTGACGTGTAACACGACGACTTATGTCAGATCGTGTTATAAACCTTTGACACAAGCATTCTGGTGCTCTATTTTTCATGCATTTGTACGTCATCACGCAATCTCGGTTCATATAGATATAGAGTTTTTTCAACTGGTAACCATTTCAACTGTTTTAAAACAGGCGTTATATGAACATGCTTACGAACTCCTGTTAATATACGTGCAGCAAAATTTTGCACTGTTTGAAGTTTGCAAATATTCTTTCGAGTAGTGGACGACCACACAGATGAACAGTAAAACAACTTCGATAGAACAACTGATTGAATTATTATTTCCAGGACGCGTGGAGCAAATAATTTCTTTATCCTATTTATTTGATATAATTTTTTCATGCATGAAGAAACCACTTCATCAATGCGAGCGTCAAAGGACAAACTCGAGTCCATAATCAAGCCGAGATCTTTGGCGTTGTCCACCGGTTGTATAGCCGTCCTGAGAAACGTAAACTTGATATTTCCTTGGATTTTTTCAACATTTGGGATGTACCAAAGAACATTTATCTTGGTTTTACCAGGGTTTGCTAGAAGACTGTTATTACATAAATATGTAGCGACAGTAGAAAGGTCCTCGTTCACTATCGATACCACATCTTCCATTTCACTGACACGAAATGATGAAAACAATTTAGAGTCGTCAACGTAGCTTTCCAAATTACTCTTTAGCGGAATAGTTGGAAAATCATTAATAAGATATTAAATAACAAGGGTCCGAGGATACTTCCTTGTGGGACTCCTTTCGTTACAGCTGCATGGAGTAACTCAGATGTTTCATTACCAGTACGAACAGCTTGCATTCGGCCAGAGAAGTAACTCTTAAACCATTCAAGTGTAGACAATGAAATACCGCAAAGCTTTAATTAGTGTAAGAGAAGATCGTGATTAATACTGTCGAATGCTTGCTCAAATCAAGCAAAACCAAGACAGTGGTTTTCTTTTCGTCAATAGCGTTATAAATATGGTCAGTGACCATTAAATGAACAGATTCTGTCGAATGTATGACGGCAAATACGTTCAAGGAAAGATACCGTAACCACAAGAAATCGATTAACAATGAGAAATACGAAAAAGAGACGGAACCCTCCAAGTACATCTGGGGATTGAAAAAAGACGGTACGGAATTCGAGTTGAAGTGGTCAGTATTGCGGCATGCTTATTCTTACAAACCTGGTGGAAAGCGTTGTAATCTCTGCATCACTCCTATGGATTATCACTCCTATGGAGTAGAAATCGTGACTCGTCACTAAAGATGACTTTTGACCACTGTTCTGTTGTTCAGTTTTTGTGCATCCTCACAAATTGAAGACGTGCTTTCTTGTGCGGCGAGGTAAAGACGTGGCTTCTTCCTTTGGTTTGCAGCCATTGAACCAGCTTCTCTTAACCTTCGTTGGGTGGTGGAAACAGAGATATTGACTCCATGCTCATTTTGCATCTCTGCTTTAATCTCGGGAGCGGTTTTAAAGCAATCAGCTTTGCTTTTTCGAACCAAGATGTTGTCTTCTCTTCTTGTTGTCTTTCTTTTCCTGCCCAGTATCTTGCAATCTTTAACGCTGCCAGTGAGTCTCTTCTTCTTAAGATGTCACTGACATTTCTTTGGCTGCAGCCAATTCTGCTAGCAATCTTGCGTTGGAAGTAGCCTTCGTTCGACAATGCCAGCACCATTCCTCGACGTTCAAGACTGATTCTTGGCTTTGGACCCATGATTTCGTAACTTGCTTTAAATTCTTCTTATCGACTGAATAACTCTTGTTGAAACTGGAATAAACTACGACTTTTGATTTAACGCTTATCTAGGTCAAAAGACTTGGCGAAGAATGTGGGACATTTCCACACGCGGTAAACATTATTTATGGAAAAAGAAAGTAAAATCTTTTGTAACAAGATAAAACTTTTGCCTATACATGAAATACCAATTTGAGCAGTTCTTTTTGACCGCTAGTGTATATATATATGTTTCCCAGGGTTACCATGTTTACTAACGCTCCCTAACCATTGTGTTTTGCGTACCCTAGTGTTATGTGCTTAATTCTATTGTATAATCTTGTGCATACAAACTATGGTATTTGCAGTTTTTTAATACACCCTGTAGACAAAGCAAACAATTACCGACAACGTTTGTTTCTTGATGCATGGTATTCCCAAAGGGCCACCAATGCGGTTAATGATCACATCGAATTACCTGGTATTTATGTTACCCTAAATTAGCAATTCTAATAACATCAACTTGTATACACTAGTGTTACGAAATGCGCTTATACAGTGTGTATAAAAAAAATTCGAATCCAACTTTGACAAGCTGCTGCGTATAAAATACTAAAGTAAACGATATCTTTTTTATATGGCAGCCTTTTTTATATGGCAGCAAAGATTAGCTTATTTAGTTTACGATCTTATACCGTTCTTATACCGTTCTTATATCGAGAAACTGGCCGAGTTATCGTCTTTTAAAAATTGTTGCTCGAAATCAAATTTTTCCGCCAATGGGAATTCGAAATGAGACCTCCATACATCTTCAAACTTCTATTGTTGAACATAAGCAGAATTTTTGCGATAAATTTGCGTTTTAGTTTTTAGTAATGATTAGATTTTAAAGCTCTTTGGGACTAATTTTCAATAAAACAAACGTCCAGTTCCCATCGGCGAAAAATGGTGATTTTTATGAACTTTTTTGTCGAACCAGTACTTCTTCATTTTTTAACTAAATTTAACTAAAAATAACTAATTTTTTTACACCCTGTATAATGTAATTTAGCATTGTTAAATAAATAGAAGGTCAATATCGATGAGGAAATTACTCGGGGAACATGTTACATAAAACGTCGTGTAAAGTAAATATTATTATGACCCTCCGGAATAACAAAATTACTTTTCCTGTCATGAGGTGACAGCCCATAGGATTTCCTCCCAAACAATAGTACTGTCGTACAAAGTTCAAGTGTCACGATCTTCTAGGCGGATACAAGTTTATGTCAATCATTTCTTTGTTATATTTTGCTCGGTTAAGCACTTGAAGCCGTACGTCACGAAAAGCTTAATTTAATAAAATTATTAGTAAAATAGTTTATAAGTTTAAGATACGGTTCACAAAGTAATAATTTGGTAATTGTACTTTAAGTTGATGAAGAATATTTTAAGTTGTGAACAAGTTTTAACAATGGTCGATTAAGCAAATGACCAACTCCGACTAGTGCGTCACCGCTCTTAAGTAAACAAAATATGAGAGCTGGACCGAGCTTCTAACGCCAACCCACACTTGTAACCTACAACGCTGATTGAACAGTAGACTACAGTTCTACTGCCATACGTCCAAAAAATTAGCCGCGACGGCGGGCTTAGCGGCTAGTTTCGATTCACCGAGCATGCGCCAATTCGGCCGCAATCATAGTACGTGCAAGTACACATGTCACACAATGCTAACCTACACCATGATTTGTTCGAACAAAACGCTACTTGAAAAAGCCGAAGACATGTTGCAAAGTAGGGCCATCCGAAACGGCTATATTGGAAAATACTCCGGATGTACATTTGTTTCTTTTTTTTATTCAAAGCGGTCATCGTGATTACAAACACGAGGAAATCTGTATTCTATCACATCAGCCACGTTGACATGTTCAGGAGACTGACGACTAAACACAACCTTTCCTGAATCGGTCATGCACAGAATGACACAGTCTATTTGACTGGCCGTGACTTTTGCAGAAGAAGCTACCTTCGTGGAATCAGTAGACTCTTAGTGATTTGATATAAAGTACACCACCGTTCGCAATTATATATAATTGGAAAAAAGTTAATTTTGTTCAGTGATCAAATCTTGCTCGAGTTTTCCTACAGAGGCTTTTTCGTGATATCACAACAGTGATTATCCCACAAAAGATTAGTCCTTTCTGCATGCCTCGTACCCGCGCGTTATATGTTTTTCTACTAAAGCGCCTGCCTGGTGAGTAAATAATGATTGACTGACATGTTTCATAATATCAAGTGCATATCAACGTATGTATTCATTACGAGGGCAGTCCATTACGTGCTGTTGCTCGGTGGAAATTATTTTTCCAGGATTTTTTATGGATATAAAATCAATATTTAAAAAATATATTAATTTTTTAGCTTTGTTAAATTTTATACTTGGAAAGATGCTTTAAAAGCTATTGGGGAATATGATGGATTGTGTCTTGGTAGTGAAGAGAAACTTCGCGTTAGAGTTGCGCACAGAAGACGGGATGACGATTATTTTTCTCGCGATGAAGAATACAGTTCATCGGATGGAACTGCCAAAGATAATCCAAACAATGGACAATCTCCTTTTGATGAATGTCATAAAGTGTAAGTATATAAAACGTATAGCTTTGATTGATTATTCTTCGTCTTTATTACACCTAGCGTTTATGTTATACAGTGCAGCTCCCTTAGGGGTAAGTGAAGTCAAAATGTAATCACCACGTCCTGTTAGATTCAAAATTTTGTATATGTTGAGTTTTTGAGTCAGTTTATAGGCGAAGTGTAATATAGCGTTTTGCCTATAAAAAGTTTGCACTTAGCGAATAACGGTATTCTAAGCGTACGCGAACGCATACAGTTATTGGGAAATCTTTTGATATATGTGTAGGTCGTTTGAGTACTTCGGTGGATCCAGCACTAGTGCACTAATTGCATTACAAAACAAAATGGCTATTTTGAGCAGTTTTCTTGTGTCATGCAAATTGGTGCACTAGTGCTGGATCCACCCCTGATTCTAAGCGTTGAAGTTTACAAACAACGTTAATGTGGGTCATTGCCGCTCAAAGTTTTTCTTATCCTTATATTTGTTTCGCGCTTTCGCTTTCGAAACTTCGCTAGCTTAAACATATTTTCCTTATTTTAAGCCAAGGTAATTCCGCATTTTTGAAATTTGCACTATCCTTGGATCCCTACTTACTACTCGCAATATTGAACTTTTTGCCCATACTCCTGGAAAAAAAACCTAATAAAACATCTTTGGAATTTGGGAAAAAGACTTTTTTGCGACAGTAGCTTTTGAACTCACTGAAACACCCTTTCCTCTTGTATTTCACTACTTACACAAGAGTGTATATTCAACGGTTAAGGATCATTGATGAATCCAATTACAGTTGCGCAATTACAAATACTTATGTAAAACGATAAAAAAATTGAAATGGCGACGTCGGCACCCCGACTTTTCTTTTGGTTTTAACTATCATAAACTACATCCCTGGAAAGTTTCAGCGCATTCTCATTTAGGGAACAAGTGCTGCGGTATTACCTTGACATTTGAGTCAAAGCCTTCTTATCGTAAAAAAAGTTTTAGCCAAACTTTTTCAAAGGGCTAGTATTACTAATCTATATTACTATCTATATTGCTCATTGGTGACGTTAGAGCGAATCGCTCTCGACTTTTTAGAGGGTGAGGAAACCAAAGTCAGAAATAATCATCCTTCTCTAGGGAATAGATCATTGTAATTCTTGATCTTGAACGAGGAATTGCTAATAAGCGCGAGTCATCAGCTCGCGTTGATTACGTCCCTGCATGCCCATGTACACACCGCTCGTCGCTACTACGGATTGATTGATTTAGTGAGGCCTCCAGGTTGCCACTGCATGTCAGATGGGCTTCGGCCCATCAGACGGACGTTATAAAGTTTTTCAAACTTGATAAAATAAATTCATTGCGTAAATGAACATGATTTTACCCAAATTGTTTTACGTCGTTATCTTTGTGTGATTAATTATGGTCGTCAATGTTCTCAAGAATATAAACTTGTTCTTCGCTACCACAAAAGTTCTTGCATCAAGAAAATTTGATCACTATCTATTATCCGAATTTCACACGGACGAAAACTGTTGCAAAGGTCGTGTTCGCCTTTAATACTAATCCTGTTTTCAAACGATGTTGAAATTAATCCTGCTCCAAATTGTCCACTCGGAAGACAAATTGAAACAAGTCTATCTCGCGCAATATCTTGTTTACGGAGAAAATGCTAACCTCGCCTTTGTCACGGAAACATGGCTGAACAAAAATATCAGTGACGCAGAAGTATTATCAAACGATTACGAGATCATCGAAAGGACAGAGGAAGCCGTGCAGGTGGTGTATTATTGGTGGTTAAGTGAAGTTCGTTTCTTTCTGTACACGAAACAGTCGAATAACAACGCAAACTTGAATTAGTCTCTGTAGAATTGATGACGAACTCAAGAACCAAACGATGCGTATACTGCTGCTATAGACAGTGGCGTAGCCAGCCTGACGATTTTGTCCCGCTATGTAAATTTCGTGTTATTATAATTATTCATTTCTTTAGAAATTCATTGTTTTCACCGTCAATAAACACCAAAATATTAGCATAGCGGGACAAATCGTCAGGCTGGCTACGCTACTGGCTATAGACCTCCTAACGCAGACAGAAATTGATTAGATTCACGAATTACGTTTTACCGAACTTTTGAATGACTACTTCCTTACGCAAGTAAACCATTTATACCAACTAAAGGTGAAAACATCTTGGACCTGATCAAGTTAAAGCGATTGATATTTTGCAACCCAAAGAGAGTGGGATTGTTACTGATCATCATGTATTGTTTTCGAGGTGGGCGCTGATGTGAAAGCTCCAACTAAACTGAATAAATACATGTACGACTACCAAAAAGGCTACTTCCAAGGGCTGCGCTCGACTTTGCATAACATTGACCTTGCGAACATTATAGAAAGCAGTACAAATGTGAACGTTGCGTGGTCGCAATGTAAAAAAAGTTTGCAAGTGCAACACGTGAGTATATCCTCACAAAAAATTCAAAAGGCAAGAGGTCATCGTTACCCTGGATAACTGGTGATATTTTGCGTCTTATCCCGAAGAAAGAATATGGACGTACGGGAAGCTTTTGAATAAGTCACTTGCGACGGGCGTTTTTCCAGACGAATGGAAACTTGCTAATATTGTACCGAGATAATAAAGTCACATCACCAGTCACCAGACTAAATGTTGGACAACAGATATTGGTTTGTCATTTTTAACCAAACGAAGTATATAGTGCCAACGCATCACACCGAAGAAAAGACCAGTTTAGTATCCGTACACCCTTAACGGCACAGTACTTGATGTTGTTATTCATTGTATAGGTGTCGAGCAGTGTACTGAATGAAATGCGAAAAATTTGAAGCCAAGATGGCGGAATATAAAGCCCACTGATGAAGCCTTTCTTGTTCTTATGATCCAGGCCTCCACACGGAAATTTCGTAGGTAAAATGCCAGAGGCCTGGGTCATACCTACAAGAAAGGCTTCAAGAAATCCCGTTCACATGCATGATACCGGCAGAGTTTGAAAACGAAACGAAATTCTTACTTTTAGGGGCTCCTACCCGCGATGGCGGTATGAAAAAATGTGAAATCGTAACGCTAATCGTAAGAGCTTGAAAACGGTATGCTATCAATCATAACTTTCTCTGCCGGTAGCTTCTTTTTCATTTTCCTATTCCGTTGGTCTTCAATATAATCAATCAAATCTCTTCGTCCAGATGTTCGGGTGACGTTGGTTTGTTTGATGGAGTTTTTACAAAGGTGGAACTTTCGTCGACATCGTAGTCATCGCAATGGCAGGCGTACAGCCATTTTTTTCGTGATCTAATTGTGCAGTTGTAAATTCAGCTACTTCGTCTTCTTTTTCTCCGGCATCGTTCTCAACTGAACCAATAGGGACCTTAAGCATGTAGGACGGCAGCACGACGGCGGCGCGGTTGAAATACTCTTTAAATAAATGCTATGGCAAAGTTGTTGTTGTATATTATTAATTGTACCGATTTAGTGAGTATAAGGCGTTAAGAACATTGTGTTTATGTTCAAGGACAATTCTGTAGAGCGTAATTCGAGGTAGGGCTCGCTGGGTCCTGAAATGCACCCGTTCTAGGCAAGACGTAAAAAACCACGTTTTCCCGTTGTAAACAGAACGAAGACGACTTCTAAAACCCATCATGGGTCTTTAATTGTTCATTTCTTTTCAATGACCCATTGTATTGATAGCCGTCGTCGTCGCGTTTGCGTCCTACTTGCTTAAGGTCGCTAATATTAAAGGACGCAACTCCGACGTGGAACCTGCCCAAATGCTTGAACATATATCGAAGAAGGTGGCCACTATACGCCCTCCCCCACTTCGTCTTTCACTATCGAGGCTTTGTACTTAACTCGGATGGCTTTGATCTTTGTTAGTATACTCTTCCTTTACTGAATTGCTTTTTTGGATCAAACTTTGGAAAGTTTTCACGGTCAATTACACCATTTACAGTTGTTGGGTATCGTTTGACAAACATTTCTGTGATGTCAACATATTTGTTTTAACTGATTCCCAGTCAAAACCGGCATGTATCTGATTAGTTTTATATCCGTGGGCAACATTTAGAAGTAGGGATACTTCGTCATCGGTCTATATAAAGTTTTGAACTTTTGACATTTTGAAGGTTTAGCTATAGTGAAGTATTAACTCTCACTTAACTGTGAAAGTCTATAAATACATGCAACGTAATGCAGCATGTAGACGGCCAACCGGTGATGCATTACCTTCAAATATTTATATTGATACCATTTATAGTACGAGCGTAATTCTTAATTTCATAAAAAATTATAATTACTTCAAATTTCTTATTTGAAAAACAAAAACAAAAAGCTATAGTCACTGACTAGTGACAGTGAATCTTGACTAATCAGAATGCAGGAAAATCAATAGTCACCTCGAAATTTATAGTAAAACTGTATAGAAACACGAAAAATGTTTCTTTTACCTAATTATTTAACATATCCCGTGTAACAACGAACGGGTTCAATGTATTTCTTTCGCTATTGGAAAAACATCGGCAAGCATTTATGATGTATGATGTTATATATTGCCTGATCCGATCCTCCTTATACATCTCCTCCACCATTGAATCTATTATCCATATATCCGCATCATGCGAAAAGTACCTTGAAATGGTCTGTACTCTATTAAATTACGACCAACATCACTTCAATTTTAGGGGTGGAAAAAATGTTTGTGACCAAAGTTTAGGCCGCTTAAAAGGAGAAGCAAACTACAAAAATAGCGACCAAAATTCTTGCATACCACAACAACTGTCAAACGTGATCAAGAGTGAGTCGATCATGAATGAGGAATTATTTCCTGAGGCTAATAATGGATCTGCAGGTATATATACGGTTAGATGAAATTACTTTTGTGTAATTTAAGTGTTTTGTAATGAATAGAAGCTGAGTGGCAGCTTCATTAGATTTCATTGTAAACAGATGATATACAGTTGATACAGATGCCACAAATTACTTAAGCGCAAATAAATACCTCGGGATTGCCTTTTATATTGCGGTTTTCACCTACTGTAAGGTCTTGGCCAAACCACATTAATTGATTGAGCGCGGTTAGGAATATATAACATATATTCCTAATTCTTCCAAAATCACGGGTCGACAGCGATTGCATATTATTCTACAAAATACCTTATCTCTGTACATGTTTCCCGTGTCCAACACCCCTAGTAGGACTACCTTCTAAAAATGGACGAAAAATCCTTGTTTCAAACGCAACCACGTGCTTCTATATAAAATAATACTGCATTTCGCTATTTTAACCTATATACGGTCCGTTAAGTATATCTTTATCATTGTTAATAGCAACACCGCGGATAATGATGCCTTGTACATGCTGTGACAAATTGTGCAAACAACGGTGTTCTGCGTGTAAGGCACCGTACTGCAGTAGGGAATGCCAAAAGATCGACAGAGTACGACATAAACTTGTGTGTACCTATCAGAATAACTCTAAACCTGCCAAGTCAGAGGTAAAGGTTCCAGTAGCAACAAACGGACCCATGTCTGCGCCTGACGATCTTGATAATGATAGTGACTTTGACTGTATTGATATTTCATTGGAGTCCTCAACTTCAAGGAAAGCCAAGCCAAATACAGAACAGCGAAATGACGGTGATGTTTCCCTCGATAGTTCTTTTTGTCAGGATTCGGGTGTTGTAATATCAAGAGAATCTCCTTGCGAAGAGCTTAATTCTGATCCAAGGGTGGTAAGTTACAATTAATTTGTTTTCAAGTGGTTTGGCAACGAGCATCCTTATATAGAATACTGTATTCTCCCAATGGTGAGCTAGAATGCGAATCTATTTCCAAACATTGTAAACATGCGTGAAATCAAACAATTTTTTAATTCGCACTATGATTTTAATTCGCACAAAGATTCGCAAAGAAAGTTACATATTATGATTGGCTTTCTTAAAGACATGTATGTTACAGCGGCGGTTCTGCTCATACCATTGGGGACTCCATGATTTATGAATTATCCAAATTTCGCATGATTTTCATTGAACATAAACTCTATTTCTTATTCATTTAGAGATATAGTGAAATAAATAGTAATAAATACTCTGACAGGACAGAGATATGGCGATTCAATAATTATGTAAAGAAAGCGTTTGTTTACATTACCAACTGTAACCTACCTTAAAATTAAGTATCGACCCGTTGCACTGACGTCATAATCATTAAAAGTTGTCCTCCAGATGTTACCTTGCTACGCGAGCGGTGAAGGTTTATATAGCGGTCAAAAGCAGTTAACGAAGCAAAGTTTCTCACACTAGTAAATATTTCTGTATTTGGCCCAAAATTTACATTTTTGCAAAATTTATGCTAGGTTAATTTGTCCACGAGATGCCTAATGTGACGTCATATGGAAAGGGTCTAAAAATGTCTATAGCGTAAAAGTGAACCTCCTCCACATTTGGAGACCCTGTTCATACTATTTCCAGTAACACGATTTAAACAACCTTTGGATAATTTTAGGCAACTCATACAGCGGATATCAACGTCATAATGGCTTCAAACGTACCTAATGATGTATTACCCTCTACAATATCCTTTGATATTGTAGTATGCTATTTCTTGACACCGAACTCATTTTGGATTTGGTTCATGAACACTGCTAAAGAATTGTTTATTCGCTTACTTCCCTGCTTAATGAAACTTACGAGAAGTCCACGTATTCAGAATATATGCCAGTCACCGGCCAACTGATCGCCGCGAAATTTAATGACGATATTTGGTACCGTGCCAAGGTGAATTGTGTCAATAAAGATTATACCATCAACGTTACTTTTATTGATTTCGGGAACACTGAAAATATAACTGTGTACAATTCTCGAAAGATCACGGAAGCCTTAGCGCTGATTCCTAAACTTGCGACCAAGTGTTCTCTGCATACAATCGAAGAGCCGACTCATAAGTGGCCAACAGATACTCTTCATTTCTGTAATGAATTGATGTTGAATAAAAAGGGCTCAGCCATACTGCATGAAAGCGTTCAAGACTCATTAGTGCTGGAGATCAATGTGGAAATAAACGGTGTAATGCGTTCAGTCGTTGATGAGATTGTCAACCAAGGGCATTTAATTTTAGACAAAATTACAACGCCGGATTCTGTTAGGCACGATTTACCTAAAGGGGAAATTCCATCCAAAGAAGAACCCGTCACGGGTCAGCACTTTCCTGCTGGCGATAAAACACCTATTTTGCGTAGCAACAAACCTTGTTTTCCCGACAAAGAGACTACTCTACCTTTAATCCAACCTATTTCTCCAAGCTGCAACCCACTGTCTTACAACAAGACCCAATCGTTACCTTCCCACTGCCCAACAACAACAGGAGGAAAACCTGTGGTTTTTAGCAACCTGCCTGGTGACGTAAGCAACATTTCACTTTCCAAGCAAGCGATTTCATGCAGCAGCTCTATCTTCCCCGCAGGCAAACATTCCACCATCACGCCGGAGATACCCGTCAAATATCCTGCAGCACTTTCTGTTCCTAATAGTATGCGCATTCTACCTGATGATTACAGCACATCAGAGCCAACACCGCCAATTTCCCTTGGTAGTCAGAAATTTGGACTGCAATCCGCAGTGCCAAGTCCGAAAAATGTCTCTCCTGAGCAGATGGTATGCCAAAACGTCCTTCCTATTCCCACCTTGCCGAGTACACCATTTGACGTAATTGTAAACGATGTTTCCACGACAGAACGATTTTACGCACAAATGATTGACCCGTCGTTAGTAAGCCAACTGCACAAGTGTGTGCGGAAATTAAACGAATATATCAGAGAAAACCATCCTCCGGAAAAGAAGAATGTAATTGTTGGTTCCTTGGGTTGTGCCAAATTCTCCCAAGATAATATTTGGTATCGTGCTCAAGTTGTTGCAATGAAGGAGGCAAGTTACCGAGTTCGATTTATTGATTTTGGTAATGTTGAAGATGTAAATCCACTGGAATTTTTCGAAGGCCCGGAGTCCTTTTTTAAGTTGGCGCCTCAAGCGATATGTTGTCGTCTGGTTACCAGTGGCCGTTTTCGGGCGGACCAAAGCAGTAATATGATGAAAGCGTTAACATTAAATAAACAGTTTTCTTGTATTGTTGTTGGAGATGTATCATGTCCTGAAATATCTGTAAAATTGCTCTCTTCCGTTGGTGGCCGAGTAGTGGATACTACAGAAGAACTGGACAAATGTATCAATCTTAAGAATTAACCAAATTGTGTTTGTAACTCTTGTAACATATGGTTACTATTTATTTCGTTGTTCCTTTTTGCGTAGGTTGCAAAAATCACTACGGGACGGCAACTGATGCCTCTGGCCACAAGCTAATCTGCGTACAAATATCAATTAATCATAAGCCAAATTCTCGACATTTGCATGACAAAACTGAGTTGTCATCTCCAGCATTCCCTACATATCACTATAGCAGTTGAAATTCTGTTATTTCTATGCAGGTACGCGATTATTTTTCTGTTCTATTGGGGTATTAATTTCGCGCCTTTAGACCTATTATTATACCATTGGTGCCAGAGGTTTTTCCACGCTCGCAAAAAAACCACAAATACTATTTTCCAGGCGTCAGCAATCATTTAAGTTTCCCACAAAAAAACTTTCTGTTTTACCAACAAATTGAATCAAAACTATTAATATTCTTGTATGCTTGCATGGTGACAGTCGATAAGTAATTTAGTTTGTAGGTACACATCGTAAGTATTTAATACTGGAAAGCTTTCGGTCCGTTAACCCGGGCCTTCAGCAGTGTATATCTTTGCTGTTCATTCATAGCAAAACAAACAGAACATAAGACATAAGAACATAACCATGTTACAAAAATGTTCAAGCATGTTCGTCTTAGAACATAAGACGAACTGCGAGAAAGGTAAACTGGATAAGTCTGCTGTAGCTCACCATGCATGCGTGGACTTATGATCATCGCAGTAAATGGAAAGATGCAAGCATTTTAGCGAATGATAAGCAGTCTCTCGTGAAATAAGTTCATAATAATTTCATAATTATTTGGTAAGTGAAACCGTTTAATTATTGGCGCGAGCTAACAAATCACGACTAACGTGATATGTATTTAAGTGACGGTTAAATGTGTATTTAGGTTATCGCACTGATGAAAGCCCGGGTTATCGGACCGAAAGCTTTGCAGTGTCAAATACGTACATGGTGTACCTACAAGCTAAATTACTGAATCAAAATTGTTCAAAACAACTCCCGCTAGGCACTACTTCTGGCAATGGGGGATCAAATTTTTCTATTCGAAGTTTATTAATATACTTTATTATATGTTTTATTATTTATCTTTATTATTCAATCTTTTCCGGAAAGTAATTTCGGAAAGACGATTTTTGTCACATAGTCAGTTTTGGCGTTACACAAGGAATGTTATTGAATGTTGTTGTTATTGACGTTCTTACCGTGTAGCTTGGACTTTAAATGAACACATGCATATTTTATATAAACTATAAATGGAATTAATATTAAATATGTAAACTGCAATCGCATGGTTTGTAACATTGAAAGCAAATATATTTCTCGTACAAGTCAACTTTAATCATGTGGTTTTACAGTCTCATCCTTTATTTACAAAACTATTCTCAACACTTGTAAAGATATGCGAAGACGTAGGTTACTATGGAATAAATAGCATAATTATACTGGTAATACTGCGGATTCTGGTAGACCGTTAAAGATATATATATATATTAATATATATATATATATATATATATATATATATATATATATATATACTGGGTGTATCAGAAAAAACTAGAAGATTTTAAAATATTCAGAAATCTTCAGAAAATATTCTATCATTTATCAAGATATCTCAAAAATATATTTACGTCTATTACGTCTACGTATTTTAGCATCATCTGACTTATCTAACAGAAAAATTAACCTCGAAAAGCGGGAGAACGGTTTGTAAAAGCCTCATTTTTAACCGCTTGTGCAAAGGAAATGAGACGTTGAAAATCCAAGTTCAGTTAAAGAGGTGAAAGTTTGGAATCTTTTGTGCTATGTATCGCAATTTCAAAAAATTTGATAAACATTACGTCCGCCGCGAAACGTTTCAAAATTGGATTTTTTTCCCCGTTTACTCCGCTCTCTCGTAACTTTTTATACGCAAGAATAATTACATGCATGAGTGATATATATATATATATATATATATATATATATATATATATATATATATATATATATATATATATATACTGTCGTCAAAAAGGTTGTCCTGAGCAAGTATATGTATATATCGATCACGTGACATTATTATGCATCAACAAGCGTGGGATTGTACAAGCGTGTTAATTGCGAGTTCGAGTATAGCAAGGTGAACGATTAGAAAATGCCAAGACCATATTCGGATGATTTAAGGTGGACAGTGGTTTATCAACGACTGTTCTACGAAAGAAACATCGACGAAATTGCAGCACAGCTATTTGTTTGTTCAAAAACCGTCTATCGTACTCTCAGCACCTTTTGGAACACGGGTGATGTGAAGTCTTGCCGTATGGGTCGCCCAACAGCGAGCGTATTCCCACACGAAGAATATATTATCATGGACTGCTTACGCCGCAAATACAGTTGAATGAGATAGCAAGCTATATGTAAACCTCTTCAATAGGATTCAAATCAGGTCTGTCGTACACTCGTTCTACAACTTCTTGTACATGATGTGTTGGGTGGTTATCTGTTAAAAATATGCATATTACTAGTTTTAGCAGTTGCATCTTTCTGCATCAACAAGTTTTGTTTAAACAGATATTAATAGATCAAAACATGATCACAAATTTAGTCATCCCTTGAGACATATGTTGGAACAGCGAATTTGCATTAATTATTTTCAAATCTCACCCATAACGAGAACGGATCGCGGGTTTTCCCCATCAAATCGATTCATAGCTGGCAAAAGCTGTTCATCAAGAAAATAGATAAAGGAGCGTGTTTCAAATCTTTCTTCGGGATTCTTCAACAAACAGTTCGCAAGAAGTCCATCACACGATATTGCCGAAATAATGGAAAAGCGCGGTGTCCACCGTGCATAGCTATAGTCGCTCACAACAGGCGGTATCCCACGAGCACTATATCCATATTGCCGAGCAATTCGTTTATCCTTAAAACGTAGAACCAAATAAATAAGAAATCTACTAGTTTGTGCAATCCAGTTACAGTAAGGTATTATTTAGTACATACAATGCCTGTTTCATCGAGGAAAACGAGCAGGTTTGGGTCAAAAAGGCGGATTTCGGCCATGAATTGTAGCCTAATATCGTTTCTTCGCTGAAGGGCAATTCCCTGTATCTGAAAAAGAAAATCTGGCTTGAAGAGTTGATAAAGAACAACTAAAATCTTGTAATTAATTGGAAAAAGGTGGAATGGCTTGCGTCTTATAAATATAGTTATATGATTTCCAGCGTGCGGTATTAAGTATATATTCCAACTTAAATAATGTCATAATGTTTGTACCTTTTTGCGTGTTATTCCAAGCCTATAGAGAGCTCGGCACAGTGTCTCCTGGCCAAATGCAGAGCCAGTAGCATTAATGATATAGCTTGCTATCTCATTCAACTGTATTTGCGGCGTTCGCAGTAAACAGTCCATGATAATATATTCTTCGTGTGGGAATAAAGATACGCTCGCTGTTGGGCGACCCATACGGCAAGGCTTCACATCACCCGTGTTCGTATATATATA